CTCTGCATATTTGGGATAGCCAAGAAGAATCGCATCCGAATCGAAGTCGAAAGCAAACACATGCATATCTCCATTTGACGACTTCTCAATCATGCAGCCCTCACCATTATCTTCTGAGTCCTCAACCCTGATCTAACCACATATCATCTCGCCTCGCCGACCGATAAAGGCGTCACCCCAATTGCAAACAGGAGCTTGCCTCATTCATCACCGGCCAGCACTCACTACAAATTTACGACGCTACGTATACCCACAAGGAGGAAATTAAGTCATAATATACAAATTTGGGGTCTTGGTTTGTGGGGGACTGCTGCTCTAATGGGATTATACATCTTGAGGAAGGACAGGCGGCTGAGATGTGGAGCGAGAGGGAAAAGAGGTCTTTGAAGACCGTGCTGGGACTGACATTTTTCGAGGAGTTTTCAACCTTGGATTTTTTGTGGGCGCCAAGACCGAGATTTCGGCTAATTAGCCAGGAGGGCCTCTTTTGTCGATGAGTCAACGGCACTCCCCAGCGCCCTGGACGGCACAAAAGAAGTTGAGCTAAGCTAATATACAGCAATCACGCTCTGTCAAGACTTTCTGATATTTCAGCACGACCTTCGGTATGGGGTTGGAAGGAGGCTAGAAAAGCAGAGGGTGAATTTCCAGAGGTACACACAAGTCTACAGCTTGCAGTTTGCCGGCCTCTTCGAATGCTTCAGAGGGATCACTTTGTCTTCGGATTTAGTCCTGATGTCGGTATTAGTAGAGCTCCGCACCCAGTGATTTTCGCGATTTTTCCCGGCTGCCATACACACGAAAATGGTCATCGTTTTGTTGGCTGGAGAGGGGAGATAATGATAGGCCAAGGGCTCCTCTTAGTGTATGATCGAATGAGGACTTGTAAGGGTGATACTGTTTGAGGGGAGCTGTATGGGAGGCATAGGAGGGGATATACTACTGGTATAGGTATCCTTGGCCTGTAGGCATACAGGGCAATAAAATGAATTAAAAGAAAAGCCTTTAGTTATTAATTGCCATGCTCGGTGTGTCACAAAATCAAGTGTCAGAGGGCAAGACTGAACACCTGTAAGCGTTGACCTCTACGAACCTCGGAGTGAAATATTCTCCCAGAGCCAAGTTCAGTCAAATTTCGCTATACCGAACAAGTTGACCCACGAAGCAATGATTCAAAATACTCCACTGTGTCAATTTTTCGCTCCCACCGAACTTGGCTCCTACCCAGGTCTCATCAAAGTTACAATTACGACCCAGTACATCCTCATTCCAATGATCACACCTCTCGTCGACTTTCTCTGGCCTTGGCTGGCCACCAAATACACGCCCACGCCGATATTTACATCCGACGGAGGAAACAAAGCGTGGCGCACAAATCTGCAAGACAGTTCTTCGGGATGGACGTGAGAGGGATCATGTGTTGGAATTGGAGACACGGAGTGTCGTGGACGTACGGGCCCTCCATTTCGACTAGGTTCCCGACACGATCTTGCGTGTATTTAAGAGGTTGGAATAGGTAATATGGTAGCACTTCTGGCTACCTATTGGAGACATGAGCGGCTGTATGGCGTGGGCACAAGGAGGTTATTGGGGGATTACTATGCCTAGATGGCGCCACACTCATTTATGCTGTGGCTTTAGCTCCGTGTCGCATACACTTGTACTTGCAGCGCACACTTTCCACACTTTTAGCGTCAATCCGAACATGACATTCTTTTGGTCAGCTTCTTCTTTTGTTTTGTAAATATTGCGCCCATTTCATTGCGCGATATTTCCAACAACATGTGAGTACACAATATGATGCCAAGGAAAGATATAACCTCGATGGGCGTGAAATTTGGAAATTTGGTCAAGAGTTTTACGAATTGAGCTTTGTGCGCCACAATAGCTCGCTTGCAAGAGTGCAGCTGACACTGTAAACACAGGTGAACGATGGAAGGTGCCGTGATCCGCCTCCTGATGGTGTTCTCTGGTATAGTTTGTGTAGCCTGGGCTCATAGTTCGTTTGAGAAGGAGACACCTCATACTACATTTCGCGTGGAGAGAATTCAGCGGATGATAAAGGCAGGCCTGGATAACCCAGGCTTTTTGGGACGTTCACCCTGGTGGGTATTTACGGATGAGGGTTGACTTGGGGCGAAAAAAAAGCCGCCACAACTTCGCAGTGGTACTTGCAAAAGAACTCCGACGCATGAGTGCTCTTTTCTTTTGAGTCATCTGTTGTTTACTTTTTATTTGATATTGTGTCAGAGATAGATAGTTGCGTTCGCAGTTAAAATCTGATGTAAAAAAAAGATGTCCACTTTTATACTGTTTAAGTTTGATCTACTTTTACCCTGAATTTTCTTTTAATTAGTTTCTGATTTATTATTGATAGTATCATTCACGGTCAATATAACAGGAGTAAAATTCTTCATCTGTCATGAGATTCCATCTGCGCAAGGGATTTTCTAAAAATATTTCTTTAGCATTAATTATAGATCCGAAATAATCTTACTGACATTTTGAGGATAGTTTTAGTCGAAACTTCAGGAAAGGGTCATGAATCGTGTCGCACGTATACAATTTTTAGGGTCGAGCTATGGCAAAGACTATTTCAAGTTGAATAGCTTTTTACAAGGAATGCAGGTAGGTTTGTACTGAGCTGATTAGTGAACGGGTACCTTGGTGTTTTGCAGGTTGATAAATAATTGCCATGTTTGGTTCAAGCAGGATTTACGTTGGAAAACTTCTTACTAAAGCTATTGCGTCTCTGTTATACCCTTCGATAGAAAACTGAATACAGGTGATGCGGCGGAGATGCATACCTGGTTCCATGAGAGAGCTTCGTCGTTAACGCACAGCTTTATTGTTATTATACTCAATTGATTGAAGGTGCATATTATTTTCAATTCGAAAATGTCAAGAGGTCTTGTCAGAAGCGAAATGAAGATTTGACAACCAGCTTATGTCGACTTTGTTTGCTTCATTCCCAATAGTTTCTATGATTTTTGTCAAAATGCAGTAGGTTTGTATGAAGTAACCCTCATTCAGGTCAGGTCGACTCACATCTCTAACCTCCGTCGAAAGGCAGATGGTAATTGGTGAAGGGTAGTGGCTAAAGTATCTATGTTAATTTAGGAAAGACATGTTTGTGCATTTTTTTCGATGTACTATGTGAGGCTAGATTCTCAAGAGTATAGGGACGAGTTGCATGTATCTTGAGTTAGTTTCACTCCAATATCAGGGGACTCATAGATGCTAGGGTAATACTAAATGTAGATAGTAATACCTTAGATTGTCTGTTATGAAACAGTTTAATCAAAGCCCTTCAGACCAATAATGTGCCTCGTCTTATCATAGACTACAATTTGGTGGAAGAATATAGTTCAGATAATTAATTATGACTTTTGTAAAAAGTGGATTGACGAGGATTGGTGAGGTGAGATATTTTTCGAAAGGTTTAGTTCGTATTGTTAGATACTGCGTGCGTCTTTGACTAGTTTCACAATGAACTAAGTTTCCGTTTTGACGTATATCTGTGGTGTTGATCGGACAGGAAGTTCGGCATCCCTGCTGTGTATTAAGAGTAGAAATATTGAACCCAAGATGTTTAAAGTAAGATCTTAAGATCTAGCGATAGATTTACCCTGAATCATTTGATCTATTAATAATTTAGGGTTCGAAATAGTTTTCCGTCCGGCGGAGCATCATATGTGGATAAAATGTAGTAGAATTTTTCTCTTGATGAGAAATTTAATAGTGCAATAGAGAATGTCACATATTTGGATATCAAATATTCTAGGGGATGAGTTTAGGGATTTCTAATGCTTTAACTAGAGGGACGGTGGCCGAGCTCAAGTGCGTAACGCTTCGGTGTGTAACAGCCTCGAGGCGGAGAGGCTAGTCGAATTTTGATGAAGTATTTTGGTTTACTCGGTTTAGTCTCTTTGTTACCGTTGTATACGGAGAAATAATAGGTAGTTAAATGAGATGTGTAGCAACTGATAAATTTGTTGTACAAAACCTTAGCAGGATCTATGACATTGATAACTAGTTTTAGTGGAAGCATATATCGGATACCCTTGGTGAGTAATAGATGAGCCACCAACTTGCCATGTTGATACTATGCTTGTGGACCTGAGGTTCTTGTTCTGGAACAAATCCAGCTTTTCCAACTTGTGAAATTGTCGGGTGCTTGATCCCAGCTCTGGCAGGACTATGTTGAGAGTGGTGAAAGGTTACATGGTCGCCGAGGATTGCTTGTGAAAACCTTTTCTATCTGTAGGTTGTAGGCTCGTGTGTTAGGCGGAAGATATCTTCCAGACATGACACGGTCCTTGAGTAGAGCGATCTATCTGATGTCTGCTTCATGTCTTGGGCGTGTAAGCTTGTATTTACTCTGTAGAGAGTTGTAATTAAGACTTACTGTCAGAACTCTCGTCCAGCCTATCAAATATGGCGACGCTCTGGCCTTTTTGTGCAACCCAACCAACCCACTGGCACTACCGAGCTGGTTGATTCAGCGTTTTCAAATAATCTAGCCGCAAGAGGAATACATGAGTGAAATGTGACGCATGTGAGCTTTGTTGATATCTTGCTTTCCACTACCGATCGAGTACTGGATTCGTACCCTGGCAATGAGAGAAGGCCGGCGATCTGTAAGCTGTTTGTTGGATTTCGACGAAAGATCTTGGCTCTGGTGTCTCGGTTGAGTGTTGCTGCAACAACGGGTCTGCCATGACTACTGGACCGTTGAGATGAACGGCTGCATAACGATGCTGCGCCTGATTAATCATAAGATGTTAGCTGAAAATATGTGCTCTCGAATTAATTCAGAAATAGGGCCACCTCACTCATTGTTGTTCAATGAGACGCACGCATGAAACAGCTACGAGAGCAACTAATTTATAATTGTGATACAAAAAAGAGTGTGTATAATTATTACATCAAAATTAAACCTGGAGCTAGTGGCTAATTGAGAAATACATCACATTCTGTATCACCTTTAGCTAGACACAATGGCATCGAAAAGTTTGCAACTAGAAGACACCAATGCCAAACATTGCTCTCCAACGAGGCCCACCACCAAATCAGCCGGACAATCTCCAACACCCGACAGGTTGAGGAGCTGCAACACCACTCCTGCCCACAACGCCAAACGTTCAGCAACCAATAGTCCGCGGACGACTCCTCAGAGACCATCGCTCAACAAACATGGCACCCCGAAAAGTGCACCCGCACGCCAGAAAACGTCTGCGAAAAGATGTGAGTCCAGCTTGTTGGGAGATTTCCTCTTGGGTAGGCCATACCCATACCGAGCTCGCAGAGCCACTGTGACGCGCAGAGCTAGCCTGGAAGCTGTCAAAGCAGATATGAAAGCTGAGTTTGTGGCCAAATTACAAGCGCCCAATAAAGTTCAAGATCGAGTTCGCCAATGGCAGAAAACTAGTGCAGGTATCGTTATAGAAGATGTCGTGGGCAATAATTGTGAGAAACTTGGGGACACTGGCCAGAAAAATAGTAACCTTAAAGATGGAAAGAATCCAGGACGAAATAGCAGTAAATCGCAAGGTGACAAGGTGGACAGTATTAAAAGTAACATCACTCCACACGCTAAGGTAGCCACTCCAAAGAAGAAAGTAATTAATGATTCTCAATGGATGAAAGACAAAAAAGGAGCTCATCAAAAGAAAGAAAGTGCAATGCCTATAATCTTCTCGCAAACAGCATCACTAAATCCTCCACTAGAGAAGAAGATTAAGGACTGGGTCAAAAGGACAGAATTTGAAGAGCTAGAAACTCGCACTGGAGTCAATTTTGATGGGGGAACAAAGGAACAGAAAGAAGATCAAGATGTTTCACGGACTGTAGTCTCCAAAGCTCTTTCATCTCGGCATCTTAAAGAATCTCCGACTACGAAAGTCAATTTAGCCAAGAGCGCAGGAACTCAAACTTCCCTAAAATCTTCAGTCAATAAAAGTAAAAGCAAGAAGAGGGCTACTCCATCTGGGAGTACCAGGACCGCTGATACTCAAAATTTGGATGAAGACGATTCTACCAGGGGTAGCCATACAATTAAAAACTCAAAGGAAGATGCGTCTAAGTCCAATCTCAAACCACTAATCACATCTAAGAGAGCCACTTCGAAGCGTCTTGGAGAGCAGCAACCAAGCTCACCCAAACGTTCCCAACTTAAACACAGTAATAAGTGTTTACAAAAGTGCAGTAATGGGTCAAGTAATTATAGCGATAGTTGTGCGCTCTGCACCCCAACAAAGCAAGAAGCAGACGAAGAGAGCTTGTCTGAAGTTTCTTCATCTCTCCGCAAGGATATCCTCAACCGATCTCACTGCTCGACGGTGAATAATGTCGACCTGAATGAGATATTAGTGGGCAATTCGGCATTCAGCGTCCTCGATCTACCAGTTGGGGCTGAAGCTATAAGCCTCAGAAAAGCACCACCAAAGCGAAACTCGAGCTTTGTTGTCCCAAAGGTACTAAAAAAAGTATATCACGAGGGCAAAAGAATTGTTCACGAGAGCTCTGAACCCTCCAAGCCAGGTCCAATGCATCCTGGAAGTATAGAATCTTGGTTAAAAAAGACTAGTGACCCATTCATCGATCCATCGTCACCGCCATCTACAGCCCTTAGAGAATCTCCACACCAGGATGGCCAAAGCCGTCTTGAGGATATCAAACTCAACAAAGAATCCCAAATTAATTCAAGAAGTAGTCCGTGTCGCAATCTTACAAAAGGATCGTCGAATTCAAGTGCACAACGCAAGAAATCTCATAGCTCATCATCTAAAACATTCCAACCTGATAACCCTTCTGGAACCCTAAAACGAAGTCAGGCTACACGGCGTATATCTTCCCCGAAATCAGGTAGGAAGACTGTACTCAAAGAAAATATTTATGATGCGTTTCACGGGGAGTCAGTCATGAAAAGACCCAATTCTCCAAATCCCTATGACTTCGTTAGCCCAAGAGAGAAAGAATCTAATCATGATTCCAAAAGCCCTAAGGTACCATTGTCAGAATTTGGTATTAGAAATACAACTAAAAAGTCAGGTCTCCGAGCAGCCGGGGAAGACAGCAAAATAAAAATTACTGACGATGAGAAAATCTCAACTTTATCCCATCACCCGGTGCTACTTCCTGATACCAAAATTCCTTCCACTGTCACTCCCTTGACTTCTCTCGGTACCAATTCAGTCATCTCGCACAATGAATCCATCGGTGCTCACACTAGTATCACGCAGGAATCAACTATTCGTACGACTCCAAGCAACTCATGTATATCTCGTAAAAGTAAAGACTCTCAGAGAAAATGTGGTGTCAGAAGAAGACTTACGAAACATTCAGAACTTATTTCTATTTTGTCGTTGCGTGATACGACGGATCCAAGAAATTCGGGAAGTATCAGATCAGCATGCAGTGTAGGAACTTGTAAAAAGAGATATAATGTAACTTCAATCGATGACGTATTGATAGCTTTAGCGGAGGACGAATCAAATTACATGTGGGAGCTAGATACTCTAGTAGATGGAGTAATTCCTGTCCTGCTGAGTTACGTATCATCGGATGCGAATAGCACTGAGCTGTTCGACACGCTTGCCGTATCTCCTGATGACACGTCTTTCACTCAACCTGTAATTGATATGGGCGTTGCGCTCAAAAATTTACGCAGCCATCACAAACGTATACCTCTCGCTGACGCCTATGCCTTTATTCTCTGGGCTGATGGTGTTCGACATGTATACGAAGAATATCTCCACGCATGGCGCTCTGGGTTTGAAGACATAGTTGTTAATTTGGCACCAGTTTCTTCGTACACTAAGACGGCATTGAGCGAGATGAAGCGAGATCAAAATGGAGACTTACTTGGTGAAAAGGGAGAGAAGATCGTTGTTTCTGCTCTACTGAAGAAACCGATGATACGAATTAAGCATATTAACAGAGCACTCAAGGTAAAAGAACCTGTGAACATTCTATATTCTTAAATTAAATCTAATATTTGTAGAGTTTCGGTAAATTTCAGGAGATCTGCAACAAATCAAAGCTAGCTTGTTATGACTACGACGAACTCTTAGATCTCAGTCGGCGTCGCGTGAGAGAGGAAAGAGCCCGGAAAATTGACCGACAAGCATGGAATGCCGAAACTACACGGGCCCGCAACCTTCGTACTTTGAATCCGGCCGGAAAATTCGAGGTCAATCGTCTATATCAAGTTATTGCTAAAGATTACTTTTCCCTCGAGCTACCACACTCTACAGGCCAGCGAATGAATTGTGGAGTCGAGCTAGTCCTCAGGAATGTTCCTGGATTCGATCACCAAGGTGACTTACTTATTTTCAAGAAAGACGATTTGGAAAGTTTTCTTCTGTTTAAACCTATACCAAGAGGGGAACTGTCGGCTAGACTTGGGAATCGCCGCGATCAGATCATTGTCATGGTGCGTGGCACAGGATACGAAGAACTTTTGATACTAGATGCAGAAGATGATGAAGTAGCACTAGACTGGATTGGAATGTTGGGAGATAACCCAGTACCCCCCCCAGTTGTTCGAAACCGGCTCAAAATTAATCCCACATTAGCTTCAATTATTACAACGCCGGACGCTGATAATGCCAGTGTTTTTGGGGCCCTGAAGGATGTAGACATGGATCAAACACCTATCGGCGAACGACCGAGCGATAAAATAACCACTCCAACTCGCTCTAGAGCATCTAGTCAACCAAGTACTGTCATAAAAGGTTATGTCAGTCCGGTAGAGAAGCTCAAAAAGTGCCTAAATTCTCAAGAGTTTGCACGTGTATGCGAGAGCAGTGTTCTCGACTTAACGACTGCGGACAGTATTCTCATTGAGAAAGGAATTTCCCCAATTACTGGCTCGTCGGTCGTAGGAGCCAGAGAGGATAATAGTAAACGTAATCATTCTCAACACTGGGCAATGTCAGGGGGGTTGAATCCTAACTCCAGGGAATTGGGATCAATCAAACACGACTCTAAAATAACTGAAACTGTCGGCTTAGATCAAATATCCTCGGAACAGAAATGCTCAGATTTAGTGGAGGGAAAACGTAGTTCACGGCGAAATTCAGTTATATCTCTTCGAGACGATGGTGCGCCGCCGCCGCCCATCCATAAGACACCCATTTCTGAAACCATTGAGGACACCGTCATACTTGATCTCATGTCTAAGATAAGAAAAAATAGACGGACTTCGTCTCCATTAAAGCATGAGTACCAACCTTCCTCATCATCAGAAACCTCATCTTCAGAGAGCAGCGACGATGAATCTTACACCGGTTCATCGACCCAAGATGAGATGAGTGACGAGAATCACGAAGAGGATGAGGTTGAGTCTGAAGAAAACTCTAAACGCTCATCTGATGAGGTATCCTCGGTTTCACGCCTCTACCAAAGAAAAGGACATCAAACACTTCCACTTTCACATTTCAAAATAACGACTGGGAGGGAAGCATCTGCTGAAAGCCTTCCACAGATATTCACTGCCGTTCTGTTTCAATGGAATGGGCAAACTGGATGTTGGATAAATCTGCACGCCGAGGCATGCACTCTTTACGTCACAGATGGCTTGATCGAATGTTTTGACACTGATAACTCGAGCTCGTCTTTTAAGGTAGATGACGCCTCTGAACGAGTTCATAATAAGGCTTCTAGAAGGCTGATAGTCAAGCAAATTTTGACGCCTGTAGTCCAAGTTCGACAGAGTACCGCGATTGATATTGAAATTAAATCTGTAATTTTAACCGAAAAAAGTTCGCTCATTTCCAAATCGGCTCTTGACGTTAGCGATACTTTACGATACAGGCTCTTTACCCCTCAAGTATGTGATGCCTTGTATGCCGCCATTCACCGTTCAAGACTCAGAAACAAGACTTATTTGCGGTTAGAAGAAGAAGCGCGCATAAAGCGGTTTGGGACCCATTCTTATGATCAAGCTATCGGAGGTAGCCGACGACAAGGCGTGCTCGGCTTCGGACGTAAAAATTCTTATCGTGCTTCAACTCGTGCGCTGAGTGAGTCACGCAATGGGAAAAGCAGCCCCTCTACTCTTACAGCTCTTCAACATCTCTCAGGGGCAGCAGGAATTTTAAGCTTAGCCAAGTCTTCGTTTGAGCGAAACCGAGGCAACCAATCGGGAGCGCCCTCAACGTGTACGGGATCATCATACTCCGGCGGTATGACGCCCCCACGCACACCGAACTCGCACACGGAGAAATCCGACAGTCTTTATAGTAGTGGGCTAACAGTGCGTAATTTGGGAACATCTAACATCCCATTTCGGTTATACTATATGTTACGTAATGGGCACTGGCATGATCGAGGACTTGCTTTCTTGACAGTATCATTGCCTCCGCCGGACATGAAGCAAAAAGCACCGCTCTATAATGGACCACAGAAGCGAACCACGATAACGCGGACACCCATTCCAGTATCCGAGGACGTTACTGGAGAGGACATTTGCGAGGCAGGTGTTATGCTGGATGAAGTCCTCGGGGCTAATCTATTTGTCCGGATGCAGCGAAGTGGGATTCTCCTACAGACATGGGAGGATGTATCAAGTCATGAAGGGGCCGGAGGAGTGCGTAGCTTTGGTAGTGTAGCACCACGGCGGCACATATGGGCGCTACAATTTCGAAGAGCCGGTGATGCTGAGTGGTGCTGGCAACTTTGTCGGAGTGGGCTCCCATAGGTGATGAAACAGAATAAGTTCTGAATAGATGGAAGGTCAATCACAAAAGTCATAATGGTATAAAGAGCGAGAAAACCTTAGCGCCAGGTAGTTGATTGGCAGATAATTTTGGTGGCAGATGGCAGATGCAGTGACAGCAGTCGTAATTTCGAGTCATGCTTCTCTGCGTGCCTAGGCTCCCAATTCTTATGAGTCTCATAGGCCTCTGGATTCCTGCTGACACAGTTGTCTCAGGTTCACGAGCGAACTGCCTTCTATAAGCGTTCTAGAGTGCTTCTAGTGCCGCGGCGACTGAAACATTCTGAAGATACTGTGGAGCACCATGAATTGCAATGGGTTGGCAGACCTATGGACAGGGTGTTATAACAAGCGTGACGGTGATTAGATGGCAGTATTGGTGCAACCATCTCATGTGGCTTCCATGTATCCGATTTTCAGGAGACAAAGGTTGGCACAAAGGAGTGGCGTCGGCTTCTCTTGGATCTAGATGGGCTTCGCAAGACATAGGAGAGGTCAGGGCGTGCGCTTCGTTCAGATGGAGCATTCGAAGGACAGGAGGAGGCCTCTGATGGGTATGATGACGACGATAATGATGATGATGTTAATAATCATGACGATAGCGAGAGGAGCGTGCGCATCTTGGCGATAGGGAGACCATGGAGAAAGAGTCAAACCATCTGGACGAATAATTGACACTCGTGTTGTTAAATGACAAGGCCCAGAACGAGATGATACGGGGCGGTGTGGGGGTTTGTAGAGAGCTAAATTTATTATGAAGGCGAGAGCTAGAAACAGCGATAATAATAAATTGTCAAGATCATTGCCACATCATGCACTATGGTGGTAGGGTGGTATGAGACAGACGAGGGGTGCATGCAATGCAAACGCTTAGGGTACATGCCCATGGATGGACAAGAACTATCCGAGTCGGATCGACGAGGAACTCCTTGAGCAGGAGCAACTATGCCGAATTGAGAGGGGCTGTCTAGCCAGGAGGCGACTGCGGAGCTAAACTTAGGTAATGCGTGTCTCGTGCACCTGACAGGCAGGAGCCCCGATGCGTCTGCTCCGCTTGGCGGGCGTCGGACTTGGGGCGAGAGAGTTTGGCGCCAACTCGCCATCACGTGATACTCGCGGCACCTACAGCGCGAGGCGGCGGAAGGAGAGGGTAATTTCATTGTTCCGCACGGGATGCCACTGTATACATGCTGAGGGAGAGGATATTGGTCGTAGCGAGAAGCAACATTTTAATTCTATATTCCATATGGATATCTTACGATACTCTTTCCTCTGGCAGTCCGGCGTTTCCTCTGAGTTTTTTCCAACCATCTTTTTCATCTTCACCTTTTTCGTTTTGGGGATTTTCGACTTTTTTTTCTTCCGGCTTTCTTTTTCCTATCATTTTCCCACTTGCTGATCTAGCCCCTCTTCGGCCCACTAGACGGCGGAGGAAAAAGACGTCATGAACTCCCCATCGCGGGTCCACTGTGCGAGCCAGTCTGGGAGTGGGGCGCTTGCGTATCTGATTGCTGGCATCAAGGCCATCCTCGTTCGCTTCTTGTCGGCCTCATGGCCTGGGGCCTGCAGGTGATGGTGCCAATACTGCTGCTATTCGGTTTTTGCTGAGACGCCAGTGAAGCAAGGCCAAGCCCTCTCGTCTGCCCTCCCCAGCGACGACGGGGAAAATAAAGGGCCGGCCGACACACGACTAGACTAGTTCCACCCCCCAATTTCATTCCAGATCTAAATCCCACGAGCCTTCTTATCACCTTCCCCGCCCTTCTACCCCCCTGATCTCCAAGTCAACATCCCCTTCGCCCTCTGCAATTTATCATATCTATATATGCCCCCACCCTTCGCCAGATCATTCGTCCTCGGTTGCATCTCTTCTAAGTTAATGAAGGATCAGTGCCACTATAGTGCAACGGCACATCAGTTGCGATAACAAAGTCATAAAGCGTCCTTGTCACCATCGCCTATGATCATCCGCACCAACACTATCAGCAGCTCTTGTTGACCATCATCATCATCTTCCTCCTTCACCTCAGCTTTCTCTACCAATTCTCTCACAATCCTCTCCGATCGAACATCGTCATGAATATTTCTCATCGAATCCGCAGTGCCCTCACCATGACTTCACTACATTCCCCCTCCTCAAGCACTTCATCCGAGGCCGATGACAGTAATCTACATTCTCCTCCCACAACCCCCAACCCAGGTCGGGGCCGGACCTTGACATCAGCCAGCTCATGTAGCACCTCGAGTATCATATCGCTGCCAGCCCTGCGCCTAAAAAAGACATTTACCAATCTTCGCGGTGCTAAACAGCGACGCAAAGACGAAAGATATCGAGAAGCTTTGGCAGAATGGGCCGAAGCAGACGAGCGTGAATGGCAGTATCCCACATGGGGTGGGCCAGCCAAAAAGAGCCGCAAGTTTTCAAGGGAACAGAGGGATCTTTTAAGAAGTTGGGACTGGCAACAGGTAGGAACTCCATTTGTGCACATGATGGCTACCTCTTTCGATTTTATCAGCTAACACGCAGCGTAGTCGCCAACAAGAACCTCTCTAGAACTTCGGACACGCCGCTCGAGTATTTTTGATGACAATATCTCGCCCTGCACATCACGACAAAACTCCCTCACCGGCCGGTCTTCAAGTCTCCAGGGCGTGTACACGACCGCTGGCCGGCACCAGAGCGTGAGCACAGCTTCTAGTCGAGAAAGAAGACCGTGTACCGTTTGTGGGAATGAATGACTGATGTTCGCTATGTGCCTGTATATATTGGGACCATGAAATGATCTATATAAGCCACTGATCTGGCTTTCCATTCACGCTGAACATATCATCACCAGCGTCCAACACTTGAAGAAGACCTTCAGCTGTGCTACATGCTGCTTCACCGGAGCCGAGGGAAAATTTTGTATAACTATGGAGTTGATGGGAGCGAGGAAAGTGTGGGGGAGGTGTATAAATACGATTTTAATGATGGCGAAAAATTGGCGGATTACAGCACCACACACGAATGGATGCAGGGAACTCGGAGTTTGGATTCCCTTTTTGTAATCAATAACCATGGTTGGTCTTAATTTACAAACTTTTTATGCCTTGATTAGCGAGCAAGGAATACTTCAGCCGTTTGCACAACATACCAATATCCTAGATCAACGCCAATACATGCATTCCTGATGTTGGGTAATTTATTAAATTATGCTTGTGTATGCACGATACACGTGACTTATGTGCGACGTTGGGCGCACGCGGACGAGATGTAGAAGTCTCCGGCACGGAACTGTACGGCCGGAGTGGCTGGAGAGTTTGGAGGCAGCTATTTTGAGTGAGGGCCGACGATAAGGTGATCGCCCTTAGACGCAAGTGCAGGGAAGACTGGGGCATGTCGTGAGCGGAGTGGGGGCGAAGGTGGGCCGATGTCCGAAGGGGAAAGTCGGAAGTCGTGGTCGGGTGACTTGGGGCTGAGGCCGCCGTTACCAAGAACTGGCGGACGGCGGATTTGATGACGCCGACTGATTCGTGGGTCGCATGGCGGCAGGGCATTTGGGTGTAGGCGCCAAGATGCGCGCTAACGAGTACTGATCAGACGGCGTCGCAGAGTGGCGAGGAAGAAGGGAAGAGGCTGGGCAACAGCAAGCGCAAGAGCCGTGGTCGTCGTCCTCTCTGCAGCAATCTGGATTCCTTACCACGGGACTCGTCACGTTTGGAGCCGGACCTGACCCGACGAGGCTGACAGAACGATTGCAGGCGGCACCCATGATGTCACCGTAAGCGTGCCGACATGGCAGCCTCGCACGTTGGCGTAGACACAGCTCTCAGGATGCGAGGAATGAGAGGGTGTAGAAAGAGCTTCTAGGACGCCGAAGTGGCAGGGTCATGGCTCCTTGGCTCCTTGGCTCCTGTAGGCCAAGGCTTGTCTCTTCGGGCATTCTACGGAGATGACGAGCATGATCTCAGCTGGCCTTGTCCACGTGGCCGGCGGACTCCAGTGTCTGGTCATCAGCGTGCGCGCGTCAGGTGACCGCTAGGGGAAGAGGACCGGCTTGTCTCTCGAGACCCTGAAACGGCGGAAAGTCTGCGTCTATGGGATCCTGGATGGGATGAGATGGGCGTGGGATCGTGGTGCCATCGAACCCTGGACGCCTGCCATTGAAGTTCTCAGTCGTAAAGGCTATCTGGATGGTATGAGGAGATTCGGAATGGACCGTTGGAGCGATTGATAGGATCAATAATGACTTGGAATGTCAGTGAATGCGGCTCTGATGATCACGAAGTTGTGCGATTAGGGCGTCGATGACTGTATCTACATGCGAGTGATATGAGCGATAAACGTGGCTCGGGGAGTAGGATCTAGTGTTGTCTTGGTGGAATCAACGTTCCCATGACCGTCAAAATCACTATCTGAGACCTTTCTAACCCCATCGCCACCGTAGATAAGAGGTGTCTATCAGCTCCAAATTTCCTAGACCAGATTCGAGCTGCCGCCGCGTCTCCCTTCCGTCAGCTCCCACATGAACATGGTGTGAGGGTGAGATTGGGCTGAGTCTAGACGCAGTGTCGGAGGAGGTGGAGATGCGAATTTGCGCGAGGAATTCCTACGTGGAAGAGCGTGAGGCCGTCGCGGCAACGGACCCCGCCCCGCCCCGACCATCCGAGCCGAGACCTCCAGGCAACGTTGGCCGAGCTGTGCTTGGATCCGCACGCTGTCTCACAGGTCGATGGATGGTCCGAAGGGCGGACAGATTTTTCTGGCAGAGCACTTCTGCGAGCGTCCTGCATCCAATTAGGTGTGAACAAGATATCTCTGAAAGTCTTCGAGAGTGCATGCAGCTCGCCGTGGCTCCTTTCATTTCCCCTTGGGTTCGGACGAGCCAGCGCAGTCAGTATCACTCGCGAGGTGGGCCCACTGTAGACTGGTTCCCTTCAGCCGGCCCGTCCCATGGTGGTTGGACCATGGACTCTCCAGTACAGGTGACCTGGTCCGTGTCGTACGGACACACTGCAAGGATACAAATAAGACGGTGTCGGGCGAATGCCATCACGCCAATGCACCTTCAACATCCACACTTTATCACCAATCACTGCATTCAATATCTATTCCAAGCTGCCAGACGCTGCAGCCAGGCACCCACCTGCTCCCTGGATCAGGCTGGGGCGAATCTTTCACCCTGCAGAACGTGAGTAGAAGGAGTTCAAAGCTTTGTGTTCGTGATCGACACGCTGCCCACACTGGCCGATCAGTAGGAGCCAGGTATATCCCGTCCGTCAGATTCCATCAGGGCACTGACTGGGAAGCATAGCTCGAACGCTCTTTAAATTGTCATGCAGACGAGGGCGTCAGTCAGCCGGCATTGAACCATCAACATGTACGTTTTCCAATAAGATTGTGCTCGGCTTTCCCATGTTCATTAGATATGATAGACAACCTTATTGGTGGGAAAATAAATGGGTATGCATCTCATCTTACAATGCCTTTGAATCTTCATCACTAGCCATCCCCTTGGCAGGGAAGCTACGCGAAGGAGAATGCATGATATCCATCGCAAAAAGATGGTGAGATTCAAATGGACTGGATACAAGTGCCTATCAACAGGTGTGTGATTCAGAACGTGCGCTTATTGCAACTTCCCATCCAATTGATGGATACAATGTGGAAGATGTCGATCGAAAGGAAACAAAGATTGTTCAGCAGTAAACAATGCAATGTGTAAAATATTCTCTTCGGATACTGGGAAGTGAAGATAGATCACTTCAACCGGCAGCGACTTTTCTCGAGACCAAGGAATATACTTGTGGTGGGCTTTGCCGAAGAATTGACCAAAGCCGAGTAAATTACCTGCAGAAAAGTGGGAGAGAATACCACATGTTGTCTAGCTCAATATCGAAAATGCGCTGAAAAAATGAACGTTTCCAAGATACACGGCAAAACTAGACAAGCATGTCCTATACCTCGACAACTCCCATGAAATTATCTGCTAATGGCGAGAATCACTCCGGGAATATTAACGGGAACCTGAGGCCTAGAAGGCGTATGCTTGACGGCAAATGTGAAACTGCCGGAATTTCCTTGCAAATGAATAACCAAGCCAGAATGTAGCGCTCTTTCGTTACCATGTCACGTGCAAGGAAGATGACCCTCCTTGATTAATTATCGGTGATGGCCTATATGAGCTTACAACTATGTAGGACGGACCATTTAAATACAACCTTTCTTGTTTATTCTAAATGGCGGTTTCCTTCATTTAATGGTGGGATCCCCATTACTGGTTCACCAGGGGGGTGACCCTCCCTGAGGTTTTAATGATTTACATGGAAGCTTCAAATTTCATTTCGATGGGGCCTAAAAAAGCTTAACCTGATTGAAATTTCATGCAAACTCACCAAACGAAATATTTGATCTACAACAGGACGAGCAAGGTATGGTGAGGAAAATTCCAACTAACGTTGTAAAATTGTAGCGACGTAAAGTGGAAAGCCATCGTCTCTCTTGTCAGCCAAGTGAACTCTAGGCCGGAAGGGCTACAAGTGCAATGATAGACTGGGAATTGAAGGAGTGGTTCGCATAAGCTGAAGAATATGCGAAATCTTAAATCAAGGGAAGCACACGCACGAGTGTTGAGAGAGTCATTAAATGCAACGTTTCTGCCCCCTCAAGTGGTAACTGCGAGTGGCATCTAGAGTATGAGTAGATTTTGAATCAACCAAGTCATTTTACATGTACAAGAGGCACTGGTCATATATCACATATAGATCTTTGACAAGGAAGATTCCTTCAACCTCGAGCAGTGCGGGTGGAAGGGCTCTATATGCTCTGTATATCTAGAGTAGCCAAGAGGAATCAAACTCAAAAGCAAACACAAGCACATATTCTCTCAGCGACTCATCAATGTCAGTCCTATCAAGCTCACGCGACTCCCCCGACTCAATCTCGCCACAGCAATGGACCAAAGAGCTTCTCTATTGCTAACACGGGCTTGCCTATTTGATTATCGGCCATCTCTCTCTTTAAGATTGCGATGCTACGTATAACCTACGAGGTGGAAAATAAGTCACAACACAGACAGCTCGGGTTCTAGCTTATGGAAAGCTGCAGTACTAAAGGGACCTTTTGATTGATGGGAGGAAGTCGTTGGCGGACTTGGACCTGAAGATTCCAAAGAATATTTGACATTGGCATGTTTGTGGGCGCCAAGACCAGGGTTTCGGATGGCGTTGCCCAAACTATAAAACAGGACGCGCCGCCGGGGGGGTTTAAATCATTTATGGAGACGCGTCGGGGCTGCTTCGGTGGATGGCGGCGTGAGAACTTTACTTTTGCCAAGTTTGAGTCGTAGATGTTGATATCTTGGTGCATGACACGGGAGGATACACATCAATGGTGAGGCACTGGGCGCAGAAATGATGTTTTCTGTTTTTTTTGGTTCACTAAAAATTGGCCACACTGGTAGTAGTCGTAGTAGTTATTCCCTTAGGAGAAGACTAGGACTGAACACCTTGCCGTATACCCTAGGAACTTGCAGTCATGTATCGCACTGCCGCAGAAGTAGGTCTGCGAGGAAACGATTCAACGCCACTTACCCAGACCGTGTCGGACGATAGGCTCGAGTCTACAAGTACGATCTAGATCATCCTGATCTCTATAATCACACTTCTCACTGGCCCATTCTCTGGCCGCAGCTGGCCACCAAATAGATGCTCGCGGCAATTTGAACACGCGCAGCAGGTCAAGGAGCATGGTGCACGAA